CAGAGGCCCATCCTGTCTCGGAGGCCTCTTGGGGGGCATCCTGGGGTCCTATTGGGGCCTCGTTGGATCAGCCTGGGCGATCTTGACCTTCGTGGTCCGCTGGGGCAATCTCGGGGGATCGCCGAGGCCATCTGGGAGCGATCTTTGGGACATCCTAGCAGTAGGACGTGGGACTGACAGACAGTATTGGATACTTGGTTATTTTCCAATGCTTTTGTGTTCTCTCGGGAGCGTCATGTGGCCTTCCTAGGCCATGTTGGAGGCATATCGGGGCCAGCTTTGGCCGTCTTGGTGCTCTCGGGGGCCTCCAGGATCTGTCTTCGAGGCCTCTTGAGCTCTCTTGGCCGTCTGCTGGCGTCCCCATGGGAACCCTCGGGCAGCCCAGAGCGCTGAGCAAGCTGAGGCTTCCCCCCCTGCGGCGTTTCTCTTGCCGCCGCCGCCGCGGGTCCTTCTGGTTGACGGTACACGGGGAGGCAAGACAGGCGGAACGCGACACAGGAACCACGATGCGCAACAAACACGGGGGACACGAGCAGGACCCTCGCTCGACCCGGCTCGACGAAGAGGCGCAGAAGAACGAGGGCCAGGGCTCAAAAGTCGTGCTTTGCCACGGTGGTGTACTTTTCTTTGCGGTGGAGTCCGACCATCGAGGGACGAGGCACGGCCTGAGCATAAGCTTTTGTAGCGTGCCTGCGTCATGAAGAGATCGCGACGGGGTCTCGGGCCGCTTTCGGCCTCTATGGGCCCCCGCTGGGCCCCGGGATCGCCGATAAAAAAACGACTCGGGATGAAAAACTGGTTTCAGGGCAAGGGTCGATGCTCCCAGATGGAAACCGGCTTCGCAGCTGGGGTCCGGCTATCGAGGAGCACAGATCGGGATACATCTATACATAAATGTATGTATGTATGTATGTACGTGTGTGTATGTACGTGTGTAATGTATGTATGCATGTATGTATGCATGTATATATGTATGTATGTTTGTATGAAAGTATGTATGTATGTATGTACGTATGTATGTATGTATGTACGTATGCATGCATGCATGCATGCATGCATGCATGCATGCATGTGTGTGTATGTACGTATGTCTGTATGCATGCTTGTATGTATGTATGTATGTATGTATGCATGTATGTATGTATGTAGATAGGTAGATAGATAGGTAGGTAGGTAGGTAGGGATGCATGCATGCATGCATGCATGCATGCATGCATGTATGTATGCATGCGTGTATGTATGTATGTATGTATGTATGTATGTATGCATGTATGCCTGCATGCATGCATGCATGCATGCATGCATGCATGTATGTATGTATGTATGTATGTATGTATGTATGTATGTATGTATGTATGTATGTAAGTGTGTACGTACGTATGCACGCATGCATACATGCATGCATGCATTTACGTATGTATGTATGTTTGTATTTATGTATGTATGTATGTATGTATGTATGTATGTATGTATGTATGTATGTATGTATGTATGTATGTATGTATGCATGCATGCATGCATGCATGCATGCGTGCGTGCGTGCATGTATGCATGTATGTGTGCATGCATGTATGTATGTATGTATGCATGTATGTATGCATGCATGCATGCATGTATGCATGTATGCATGTCTGTATGTATGTATGTATGTATGTATGTATGCATGCATGCATGCATGCATGCATGTATGTATGTATGTATGTATGTATGTATGTATGTATGTATGCGTGCATGTATGTATGCATACATGCATGCAGGTCTGTCTGCCTGCCTGCCTGCCTGCCTGCCTGCCTGTCTGTCTGTCTGTCTTTCTGTCTGTCTGTCTGTCTGTCTGTCTGTCTGTCTGCCTGTCTGTATGTTTGTATGTATGTATGTATGTATGTATGTATGTATGTATGCATGTATGTATGTATGTATGTATGTATGTATGTATGTATGTTTGCATGTTTGCATGTTTGCATTTATGTATTTATGCACATGTTTCTGTATGTGCAGATGTATCCATGTAATATTTGTTCGGAGCTCCACGCGGATTTCTCGGATCTGCGCTGGGCCCCCCCTGGCAGTGCCGTTGGCGCCGCCCCTGGCGCGCCCCGCGCGCCAGGGAGGGGCTCCAGCGCCGATTGGAAAATGTCCGCGCGGAGCTCCGAAAGTTCAAGTTCACGCGCTTTTTGTTGTTGGGGGGGATCTGAGGGCCTCGCCGCATCGGCGACGCGTCGGCTACTAGGATCGACGCGGAGTCCCCATGTCCCCCGCGCCGACGGCGCCGATGCATCGCCGACGTCGGCGACGCATCGCCGATGTATCGGCGATGCAACGGCGGTGCGGCGCGATCCCCCGAAGCCATCCATTCGGGCCTCATTCGTGAGACCTCCATGCGTGGCGCTGGCGCCGGTGCCAGTCGACCAGGGCCGCCTGGGGAGGTTTCGAGGAAACGCAGACTGTAAGGCCTCGGGCAGACGGCCCCACGGGTAGTCCCGGCGGATCGCTTTGGACTAGGCCCGTCGAGTCCAGCCGGGACGGCCCCTGGGGCTGTCTGTGCGCCAGGTCCACGGGCCCGCAGTCCAGTTTCAGCTGGCGCCCGGAGGCCTGCAGTCACAACGAAGTGTGGGGTGCGGCTCAGCAACGCGGACGGCTCTGACATCGCCGTGGGCAACTCCCAGGGGGACCTGCGTCGTCATGGGGCAGGACGAGCTACTCGCTAGTGCGCAAAAACTCCGTCAAGGGCCTGAAGGTGCAGAACCTCTGGCGCTGCCTTGGCGGCTCACTCCTGCTCGTTTTCGCGCTCGCCAATGAAAGCCTCGCCATGTCGTGGCTGGCGGCGGAGACCTCGAAAGAGTCACGCGTTGAAGGAACGATTCTCGTGAAAGCGCAGGGCGAGGCCGTGCAGGTTGCCAGCGGTGACTTCAAGATCAACGACGACGACATCATGGTGAAGGATTGCAGTCATGATGATGACGACAGGCGCCTGTCAGATACTGGTGAGATCTCCCTGAAGACAACTCCAACAAACCATGGGGAGCTCTTGGCTTCGTCAATGTCGGACGCTGACTTCACGTCCTTGACCGAGTTTGTGGTGTTCAGTGACAAAGGCCATGCGCTCCGGGTCGCAGTGCGCGGATTCGCACGGGTGCCGGTGAGTTATTCACGTTGCTGGACACGGCGTGGAGTGGCCAGCTTATAACCTTTGACTCAGACCAGCTCTCTATTGACGAGTCCACGGAAGTGGCCTTCCTCCATGCGGGCTTCTCGCTGGCCGTCGGCGGCGCAAGTGGAAGACGGCTGACGTCGCAGCGCGACGCGGAGGACTTTTTCACGGCAGTGCAGGGCATGGAGGAGTCCGACGGCTGGAATTGTCATAGCGTGCCTCTCCCCGCGCTTCCTGAGTGCTGCTTCGCGCAGAATTGAACGATCTATCAAGCGTGCGCTCTTGCTGGTGCAACGGGCGATGCCCGGGGTGCTTGCGACTCGAAGTATGGTGGCGTCGTGCCTGGAGTTCGCGCCTTGCCGGAGCAGCATCTGCTCGCCATGAGTAAGACCGCTCGCATCAAGGCTCAACTCAGAGTTGATGTGCCAGCTGAGGAGACGCTCTTCGCGAAGTCCGAGGTCGAAGTTCTGAGGGTACCTGGTTACCAGATCCAGCAGACGAAGATGCCGAATCATCCTGGCCAAGTCAAGGTCAGCGTGTATAGCAGGAGCCTGAAGGAGTTGGTCGGATTCCAGTCGCTCGTATATTCTGTATCAGGTGGGCGCTGTCACTGCAACTCCAGCGGAGGGGACATGACGCCGCAAAAAAGTCAGAGCAGGAAGCGACGAACAGCGGTGTGAGCACGCAGTGGCATTTTGAATCCCTTGACTGAGCTGAGGAAGGCGGAGCCATGTACCGCCTTCCGCGCGATGCCCGATGAGGCTTTCCTGATTCGGATGGGCGCCGAGACTAATTCGGAGAGGCCCGCGGATGCCTGCTACGAGTCCTGAGACAACGCCGAAACGTGGCCTCCGTACCGCCTCGTCAATCAAGATGGCAGCGTTGTCATCTTCGAGGCCGCGACGAGGGGTGCAGATGACGGTGCGGCGGAGGCCCTGCTCGAAAGCGCGGGCGTGGGCTCTGCTTGGGATGATGTCATGGCGTGCTTGTCAGGGGGGCAAGATGAAGTCGAAACTGTGATGCGCGCCAATGGGTTCGTGATGCCCCAGATGCACAGCCCGATGCTGGATCTCGACACGGGGGCCTTGCTGTTCTACGTCGCGATGATCGGGGTCGATGTTTCTGAGTGGGTCGACAACGCCAGTGCGAGCCAAAGCGGGCTGGAACTCACTGGCTCACTGGCCGCGGTCCGGGCCCCCCTGGGTGATTCCGTCGGGCGCGCCCTAAGGTCCAGCGGCCCACGGGCAGTGGCGGACGCGTGCCAGAGCTTCTGCCCCGAAGTAGTGCAGGAGGTAGCCGCAGATGCTCGAGCGACAGAGGACATTGGTGCTGCGAGCGATTTGGCGCTGCTCAGGTCTTATATTCTCGAACTTGCCGCGGGCAGTGTCAACGCGCGCGGAAGGGGCCTTGTCGCGCATCTTGTGCAGGGGTGCGAGGAGCTTGCGAGCAGCGCCTTAAAGCATCTTTCCGGAGGCGACGAGTGCGATGTGAGGGGGGCGATTTCGAGAGGAGGGTGGTGGCGCGATGGAGGTGGCGACTATTTCACGCGGCGCTTTCAAGCAGGTTTTACATCCTGCGCCTCCCATGCCCTTCTCGTCGCAGCGCGCCGACGGCTCGAACTCGCTGGGCCATGGGGGCCTCGATGATGGCGCGCGAGCGCAGCTTGATCGCATGCTGAACTTGCGGGGTTTGATGTTTTCGAGTGCGTGGGGGGTCGCGCGGCCTCGCTCCTTTTCACCTTCTGCCCTGTCCGCTCCGCTGCTTCCACCGTGCCTTGTTGTCGCGCTGTGGGCGGGGCGATCCTCTGGCTCTCGTTCTGTTTCGTGCTCGTACATGTCCTTGCGCCCGCTGC